TACCCGCTAGGGTGCAGATTTCTCTTGAAAACATGTGGGTTCTAGCAGTGAGACTTGGCCTTTCCTGGGAAGCAGAGAGTTTGGGATGAAGCTTGGGTGCCTGCAGCCTGCTGGCAGGCATGGAGACTTCTGGAGTTGGTGCTGGATTTAGCAGCTGGTCTCAGTCCAGGAGCTATTTTGTCATGACTAATGCTGCTGAGCACGTGGGCAGAAGTCACAGATCTTGTAGTTAGAATTTTCTAACTGTCACTCTGGGGGATATGGGTTACTTTAAGAGGGTTTTGAGTTTCTCTCTGTGAAGAAAGTGTTTGGTTTCAGAGCCCTGTGAATCACAAGCCAGGCCACTTGCTTGAGGCATAGGTGTGTCAGAAAGCCCCGGGTTCCTTAGCCAGCCCCCGTGAGTCACAGTACCTTCCTCAGCACAAATCCTGCCTCCTTGCAGTCCGCTGGGGCTACAATTACTTCTGTCAAGGTGACACCGATGTATAAATTCAGCTGTTAATCTGTATGCAGATGCCTCCTTTGGTCTACATCCCCATAGCTGGAGCGGCAGCCCTGCACCAGCTATAACAAACCCAGGAAACCAGGCGCTGTGGAACAGCATGCCCTGGGTGTGCAGGACACGCTGGCAGAGTTTTGAAGGGCAGGTCTTATGCAGTTGATCAGAAAACTCTGTGTTCTTTAGTCACAAGCAGAAAACAAGGCTCTGCTTTAAGGGCAGGGTCGTAAAAATGGCTCGTTTGGTACAGATGCCCTTACATCCCCTGGGAGCTTCCTGGAGTGATCCCTGGTGGGTCTGTGGAGACCAGTCCTGCCAAGAGCCACGTGCGAGGCTGCTGCTGGGGATCTTGGGTCGTTCTGCTTAGTGTCAGTGTGTTGCAGGCAGGGCCAGGAGGTTCCCAAGCTGCCGTTGGTGCCGCTGCCTCAGCAGCTTCTGGGCAGCAACGGAGCAGGGGCCACAAAATGGGACAGAAGTGGGAGTTTAGAGGATGGAGGTGGTGAAACTTGGGAGACTCGTTTTGATTCATGGCTGAGTATGGACTAGGGAGGACGTGGGAGAAATCCTTCCTGGCTCGCTGGAAACAGTGCAAAACTTGCATGAAAATTCTCATGGCACGCACTAGTGCCACCCCCCAGAACCAAAATGCTGCCCCATCGTACAGCCCGGGGCAGCGGGAGGGGCTGTATGCGGAAGGTGTAGCTGCAGCAAAGGCGCTGGTGCCGAGCCAAGTGCTCTCCACCGTCGCCCTTGGCTGTGCAGAGCCCGGCTCTGACACGTGTGGTGCTGTGCCACAGGGGGCTCAGACGGGTCCAGGCTGTACGACTGCGTCTGGAGGTACAATTCCAGCGTGAACGAGTGGACGGAGGTGTCGCCCATGCTGAAAGCCAGGGAATACCACAGCTCCACAGTCCTGGATGGACTGCTCTATGTAGTTGCCTCCGACAGCACAGAGCGCTACGACCACACGCTGGACAGCTGGGAAGCCCTGCAGCCCATGCTGTACCCCATGGACAACTGCTCCACCACCTCGTGCCGCGGGAAGCTGTTCGCCATCGGCTCCCTGGCTGGAAAAGAGTCCATGGTCATGCAGTGCTACGATCCCGACAGTGACCTCTGGTCCCTTGTCAACTGCGGCCACCTGCCCCCCTGGTCCTTTGCCCCAAAAACTGTCACGCTCAACGGCCTCATGTACTTCATAAGGTGAGTAGTGGGAGCCATCACCTCCCTCCCATGTCCCCGTGGGGAGGGCCTGGAGCTTCCCTGGGAAGGTGTGTGGGATTTTGGAGGTATTGGAGGGAGGGCACTGTGCTGGGACAGCACTGCAGTGCTTCCCCTGATGGTACTGGTGGGGCTACCCTTAAAATTGTGTAAAAATGTCTGAGTGTAACCTCGGGCTGGGGAACAGCCAGGTGTAAATCTGGCTGAAGTCAGCAGCGCTGCTTGGAAATTGGCTTCTCGGATTCCTTGGCTCCTGGTTCAGCCCCCCTCGCTGCTATAAATAAGCACATAAGCTCCAAGAAAACATTAAACTGTAGCGCAGGAGAGGACATCTTCCGTCTCAGCAGCGATAAGAAGGCTGAAGATGAAGTGATTGGTCACTATTTTTAAGTGCCTTTCCAAACTGGGACTTAATTACCCATCTGAAGCTGTCCTGATGGCGCAGATACTTCAGTTATCCGCTTAATTAAAAATAAACGGGAAGGCATGCTAGGGCTGGAGCGTTTCATCTCCCTCCCTGTGTTGACTCTGAGCAAACAGAGACTTCTGTGAGGGCCCCCAGCCACTTCTCTTTTTTTAATCTCCTCTTGGCTTTGCATAAAGCAGCAGCTTTGGCCCAAGACCTTTTATTTGATCCCTTTGGGTCCAGCTGAGTGTCTTGCTGGCATCTCTTTGAGTCACCTGGTTTCAGTCCGTCCTGCCGGGGTGTTGCAACTGTTCAGCTCCTTGTCACAAGCTGATTCCATAGAATTTCCTTTTTCTTACCCCTTTAAAATACTGATGGTTGACAGTTCAGGATTTTGGATTGCTTGTACATCTGCAGGAGTCAGTGAGGAGATGATCAGGGTCAGGTGTTCTCCCCTCATTTCATGTGCTGTGCATGGGCTGCTGCTCCGTGTAGAGCTATGGGATAATCTTTGGAGGGCAGAGGAATAGGTAACAAGTAGAAATGGCAAATTCAGTTTTTGGTTTGTTTTAATAGCTTAGACTAAAGCCTCTGAGTGATGATCCCTTGTGCTGGGACTGGTTTCATACCAGTAAATGTAGCACGGCAGTGAGGCTCAGGCATTCTCTGCAGCCACCCTAGAGCCGATCTGGAGCCGACCCTGCCTGGAGCTGCCTCACAGCCTCTTGATTCCGTCTGTACCAGAACTGTCTTGGAAGGACTGACAGCTCCTCTTCAGCTGCCCTGACCTTGTCCTCCTCACATTCTTGTGTCAGTGTCTCTGCATCGCAAACGCCCCTCACCTGTCACTGTCGCCCTCCTGTCTGGCAAGTGGGGCGGGTGAGAGAAGCCTTGGGGGATTATGATGTCCCTCTAGCTCTTCTCTCATCCCACCCACCTAAATTTGGCATTGGCGAAGAACTCAAGCAGAGTTTCTAGAATGCAGAAGAGTAATTTTGTGTTCTCTTCCCCAGAGACGACTCGGCTGAAGTGGATGTTTACAATCCAGCAAAGAATGAATGGGATAAAATCCCTGCCATGCTTCAGGTAGGACATTTGCCATCCTCCAGGGTGCCTTAAGTATTACAAATGGGTTTCATTTACCTTTGGAAAATGAAGAGCTCTTTTGATCAGAACCCCTTGCACGTGGAGCGGGTTTAAATGTACCGGAGTCACGGGGAAAACAAAGTCCTGAATGTGGCAGCATGTCCGGGTGTTCAGCCCAGCATGTGAGAGCTGTGGGCAGTGCTGCTTCAGAGCCTGAGCTGCCACTGACGGGCATGGAGCCTCCTCCAAGGAGCAGCTGCCAGACTGCACCCACCCCCTCAATCAGATTGGGCAAACACCCCTGATTGTGGTGTGTATTTACTGTTACTTTGCAGGTTCACGTTGGGGGAAGTGTGGCCGTGCTTGGCGGGAAGCTCTACGTCTCCGGGGGCTATGATAACACATTTGAACTCTCAGATGTCCTGGAAGCCTATGACCCCGAGACACGAATGTGGAGCGTGGTGGGCCGGCTCCCCGAGCCCATCTTCTGGCACGGCAGCGTCAGCATATTCCGGCAGTTCATGCCAGAAACCCCACAGGAGGACGACAGCATCACGCTGGACAACACCATCAGCTTGAGCAGGCAGACCCAAAACCTTCACAACCAGAACCTCAATGAACTGCCTTAGCACAGGAAGCAGCCTGACATAAGTCCCTCATCCAGAACCTGGGCTGCTTCGGGAGAAGGCTGAGGCAAACCAGTGCTTGGAAACAAAACCGTAGTGATCACAGAGGGAATGGGAACTCTGGCTGTTGGATGTGCTGCTGTGTGACCGCAGGCAGTGAGGCCTCTGCTGCTCCCTCAGCCCTTTGCTGCCCGCAGGGACCCGAGATCCCTGGGAAAACGATCGCACTGACCCGCGCCACAGCACCACCACTGACAGCTTGTGACCAGACACTTTTCACTGGGAGCTCCTTCACCCCATAATACTTTGCCACCAAACTGCTTCCTTCAGTTTCTTTTTTGGGAGGGGTCTGTCTGGTAAGACAGTGGTCTGGACCCCCCCTCTCTTCTGTGCCTCAGAGGGAGACAGGCTTTCTGTGCACGTGTTGGGATTGAAAGGTAGTTATTTTAGGGGGTTTTTTTCTTCTTCTTGTTTGGGGTTTGCATATTTTTTGGCCTGTGTAAGATTTGCCTTTATACTTGCCCAAGTGCCCTGGCCAGGTGGGCTGTTTATCTACCTTTGCTGAAGAGCAGCTGCGTGGTTTATTTGTGGAATGTTTCTGGAACAAGCAGAGGCCGAACCTGTGGCACAGCTCCCCAGGAGTGAGTGTCACATCTTCAGGAGAACCTTGAAGTGTGACAGCAGCTCAGGCGTGGCTGGATGCATTTGCTCTTTTGGTCTTTTATTTTTAACCAGTAGAGGAGAAGTCTGTATTTTAACCTGAATTCAGAGATGGAAAGCCCACATACCCGATCGCTGCACTCCTCAGCCAGGGGGAACCCGCGCTGTTCCTCAGTCTGGAACACTGACAGTGCCTTGAGACCACGCGCTGGGGTGCAGCCCGTGGGCCCCTGTGGGCAGAGCCTGGCGGGGGGGGACACTGGGGCCTGCAATTCGGGGCATCTGCTGCTTTTCTGGGAGCAGCCTGTCTGTGCTGTGCCGTGCCTGCGGAGAGCCGGACGGCGCTGCAGCCCGAGGTATTTCTGCTGAGCTATAAATAGTGCTCGCTGCTGGACCCCCAACCCCACCCGCTGAGTAGCTACAGATAACTATTTATTTTTTGTAGAATTCATTGTGTTGAATCCTCCAGTACAGTTGAACTCCATCCTTTGAAACAAAGGCATTTTACATTTGCAGATAATGTATTTTTATTCTCATAGTTTGTTTTTAAATTTACTTGCAGCTGTCAAGTTAAATAAAACCTGTTACACAATTCTGTCGTCTGCGAAGGGAAAGGGCCTGGAGTGAAATTTTAGTGGGACTGTCTCATTCTGGGTACGCTTAAAACAGAGCCTCTCTGCCTCCTTGGTGAGTAGAGGGGGAAGGCAGAGAGAGCATGGCTGAGACTCTGGGGGTGAGGGTACACACAGGGATCTCCCCCACCCTGGCACCACTCAGGAAATGGTTATAACTCCCCCAGCAACCCTGGATCATGTTATTTGGGACAGAGATAAGTCCCTACCCCTGACCACAGGAGCTCAGGCACTGTGTGGCTGCTGGAGTGTGTTTCAAGTGAACTTGCAGCTCCATTATCTCAATGCTGAGCAGACACAGGTCCTGCCCCTCCTGTAATGGGGGAAAGAAACAGCAACTGACAGAAGCTTGACAAAATAAAGGAGAAATAAGGCACAAGTTTAACGGAGGAAACATTCCTTTCACATGCGTTAAAGGAAAGGGCAGAGCTGCTCTCTCTGGGGGAAGTTGAGCTTTAATCTTTAATCAGGAGCAGGGTAAGAGGGCTGGAGGAAAGGGGCTCCTCCAGCACCAGCTCCTCCGGTGTCAGAAAGTGATTCACAGTATGACACAAGCAGGTCAGTCCAATCCCCCTGCACGGCGCACAGACACTGACTGGAGTGGCCCTTTTGCACCATTTCTTCATTTGACACTCAATCACATCATCATGGTGACTTCCCTGTAGTCTGGGGTGAGAGACTGGCAGGGAAGAAGGGGAGGGGACGGATGCACAACTCAAAAGAACAAGTGTGGCAGAGATTGGCTCAGCCCAAGACTTTACTGTGTTTCAGTGGAAGGGTGGCTGCACTACGTCTCACAGTCTTCAGGAATCGTTGTCGTTATAATCAGAGATTGCTCAATCACGTCCGCCGTGGAGAAGTTCTCGTCTGAGCACAGTCTCTGCGCAGGAACCTCCTCGGGCAGTGGCCTGTGGGCCAGTGACTCCACAATCACCTCGGCCGAGCCCACCTCCAGCTCTGGTGGCGGTTGCAGCACCACCATCACATCCTTCTCGTCCTCGATGATCAAGTTCCTCAGCTTCCGCTGCCGTGGGTTGTAGTTCTCCACGCGGTCGTGGATCTCCATGTGGCGCCTCAAGTGAGCCTGCGAGGGAAGGGACGTGCAGAGGGGCCTGGTGAGGGCCGGCTCCCTGGCACAGCCCAGAGGCCCCAGAGCTGGGGAAGGCCTCACCTGTCGCGTGAACTTGTAGCCACACTCAGTGCACTCAAACTTCCTCACGCCCTTGTGCCGGCGGATATGGACGCGCAGCTGTTCCACTGCTGGGAAGGGAAGTGAGAGCCCGTGGGCAGCAGCTCCACACTGTACCTGCTCACAGTGATGCCAAGCTGCCCGCGGGAAGGAGGCGGCTCCTGTGGAGCCCTGTGAAAGCCGGAGCCCCAGCGTTACCTTTGAACGTCTTCCCGCAGATGTGGCAGAAGTGGGGCCGCCCCTCCTGGTGCCGGCTGGCGATGTGTCTCAGCAGCGGCCCCTTCTCAGTGAAACGCTGCTCACAAAACTCACAGCTGAATGGCCGCTCGCCGGTGTGCGTCCGGTTGTGCTTGTCCAGGCTCGCTGCCATTATCAGGGGCAGAGAGGGGGAGAGCAGCCAGTCAGTGGCATGGCACGTGCCCCCCATCCCAGCGACTGGGCCAGAAAGGCAAGTGCAGCATAAGCTCCAGGTAAAGGTCATGGGAAACACCAGCTTGTTCCCCTTCTGTGCCACGAGGGCAGTGGAGGTGACTTGGTGTCAGCCTGCACTCACAAGAGCATGGCTTTGCTCCTGGGGAAGCTGCTTTCTGGAGGTCCTGGATGCCAGAGCATGGCGCTTGGCATGACCTGCCCCAGCAGCACCCAGGGGTACCTTGTGTCCGGAAGGTCTTGCCGCAAAGGTGGCACTGGAAGGGCTTCTCGCCAGTGTGTGTGCGCAGGTGCATGTTGAGGTTGGCTTTCTGCGTGAAGGCGTGGTGGCAGAACTCACACACATAGGGCCGCTCATTTCTGTGGGCAGGGAAAACTCACCATGACTTCTCCCTCCACCGGTTTCAGCCCCTTGGGTCTCAGCCCAGCACCTCCGGGAAGGGAGCACTCCCTTCAGCCAACCCCCAGTCCTATAGGGGAGGGAGCACAGCCAGAAGAGCCAGGGTGACATAAGGGAGGACGCGGGTCACATCGTACCTGTGCTTGGCCTTGATGTGCATCTGCAGGCCATTGCGGCTCGAGGCCCTGTGCCCGCACTCCTCACACACAAACAGCTTCTCTCCGCGGTGCTTGAAGGCCTCATGCAGGCGCAGCTCTGTCCGGGACAGAAAGCACTTGGAGCAGGTTGAGCACTGCAAGGCCACAGGAGAGGGGGGTTAGGGTACACCCACGCCAGACCCACTTGTGCCCAACACCTGGCACTCCCCTGGCTGCTCCAGGGCCCTTCCCGCGGCAGCCACAGCAGCACCCCTGGCCTCAGAGACACCCAGTGAGATGGGACAGCCCAAGAGGCAAAATGCTGATCAGTGCTCAGGTCTATCAGCTGCTCCTGTACACAAAAAAAGCCTGTTTCCAGCAGCTCTGTATCCCCCTGCCTCACTAACAGAGCCAGACGGGCCATGGGCACTATTCCCTAGGTCAGGCGCGTGTGCAGGATCATCCCCTTCCTGATATCCTGGTCCCTACCGCGTGGGGCTTGGGTGCGCCATGCAGCTTTATCATGTGGCTCTGAAGATCCTTCTTCTGCATGAACTGCTGCGAGCACGAGGAGCACTGCGAGAAAAGAGAGGGAGGTCAGCTTCCAGTTGCCCCCAAAGAGTGGTTTCAGAGCAAGGAGGACCAGTAGGGGAGCAGAACAGATTCCTCATATGGCTGCAGGAAGCAGGTGGCTGTGGTGTCTCCCTGGAGCACATTCCAGCTCAGAGACAGGGAATGACCCTTAGTGGGCTGTCACAGATGGGGGAAGGAAGCTGGGGGGCTCAGCTCCCCGATGGGCTTGGCCAGGCTGCCCCAGAAGGCAAACACTCACCCCCACTCTGTGCCAGTGTCCAGCAGCATCCACGGGGATGCCGGATGCTGGCACTGCTCACCTTGTATGGCATTTCCCCAGTGTGCGACACCATGTGCAGCCGCAGCTCCATCCGCCGCTTGAACACCTCCGGGCACGCTGAGCACGTGAACACCTACGAGAGACAGGGTGGCATCAGCTTCTGCAGGAGCCCGAGCCCAGCCCGGAGCCCACAGCTCAGCCCCTGCCAGGCACGTGGCACAGCGCTCAGCCTGCACCCGCAGGACCCGCGTCTTGTGCAGCACAGGGTGTCCTGGCACGCTGGAACACACAGAGTGAAGGCTGTGTGGCACATCGAGCACAAGCTGATACCGTCCTGGTCCCGGCCGTGGGGTCCCAGCCACAGGGACCCCGGCTATGGAATGTGTGCCATGCGGTGCTGATAGCTGTCTGTTCAGAGCTGAGCGTGGCCTGGGGCTCGGAAAAGGCTCCAGTTCCCTTCCTGATGGATGGCAGCTGCACTCCAGCCCAGTGGGGCAGCTCCTGGGAGTACCTGTTCTGATCGGTTCATGCAGTTCCTGGCTTCATGTTCCATGAGATTCTCTTTTCTAAAGTAACATTTGCCACACTTGGAACACTCAAATGGCTTCTCTCCAGTATGTTTCCTGGGGGGATACAAATGGAGAACCCCATCACTGCCTGTCCAACAGCAGATGCACAGACAGGTGTGGGAGGACACAGGGAAAGGTGAGGCAGGTTCTTGCCCATGTTCCCCAGTGCCACTATTCACAGTCACCCTAAAGCTGCTTTTATGTCACTTTCGGGGCCCTTCAGAGCGTGGTCAGGCTGTCAGTGCCCACTGTGCTCCGCAGAATCTTGATTCTGCAGGGCCAAGGTTTGCCCCCACACAGGACTGAGGTGAAACTCGAGACCTCAGGGCAGGGCCCTGCCCTGCTTTCAGAGATCCAGCCCAGAGATCCTCACAGAGCTCGGCTACATGTTCCCCACAGCCCCCGAAATCCAGCCCAGCCCAGGCTGATCTGACAGCCCACAAGGACGATTTGCCATTGCCCACCTGCAGCCAGCACAGCCCCTGAGGAGCCCCCACTGCCGCCTTCCTGAGCCACAGCCCAGGACAGTCACTGCAGCTCTGATATGTTTCAGAGACATATAATCCCCCCCACAGGTCAGAGCACCCCCAGGGGCAGAGGGGACCCTCCTTTCCATCCCGGGGAATGGCGTTGGGACCAGCTGGCAAAACTGTGGTCGCCCTTTTACCCCCGGGAAGGGACTGAGCCGCGGGGGCGGCGCATCCTCCGCGCGCGCAAGAGGAAGGAGAAGTCGGAGCGTTTACCTGTTGTGCACTTTAAGGTAATATTTGCTGAGGAAGGTTTTATGACATGTGGGGCACTCTACCGGCACCGCTGTACCTTTTCTGCTTCCCGGCGCCTTTCCCGGGGCGGGGGGGCTCTTTTTGCTCCGCAGCGCCTTTTTCTCGGAGAATTGCTCGGCGTCGCCGTCCCCCCGCCCGCCGCCGCCCGCCGCCTCCGCCGGGGCCGGGGGGGAGCCCTGCGAGGGAACAGCGGCGTCACCGCGCCGCCCCCGCCGCCGGGCCCCGGCCCCGCCGCCCCCCTCCCGCCCCCCTCACGCACCGCCTGCCCGCCGGGCTGCGGGGCCGCCGCGGGCTCCGGGCGGGCGGCGGCGGCGCGGCGGGGCCGCGGGCGGAAGGCGCGGCACAGCGCCACGGCGTCGGGCACGCCGAGCTGCTCGGCGGCCGCCAGCAGGCGGGCGCGGTTGTGCGCCGTGAGCGCCAGGCGCCCGGTGTAGAAGAAGTCGAGCAGCAGCTGGAAGGTGTCGGCGAGGCCGTCGGGCAGCGCCACGGGCCCGCCGGGGCCGCGCGCGCGGAAGAAGCGGGAGCAGCTGGCGAGCACCGGCCAGTGCGCGCGGAACTCGCGGCCGCCCACGCCGAGCGTCGCGTCGCAGAACTGCCCGGCCGCGCGCTGCCGGTTCAGCTCCCGCAGCACCCGCACGCTGTGCGCCGCCGCCGCCGCCATGGTCGCGCCCGGGGCCGGCACCGGCACCGCCGGACGTGGCGTCACCGAGCGCCGGCAGTGACGCGGGTGCTTCTGTGATGTCTCCGTGTGTCTGTGTGTGCGGGGCTGGGGCCGGGCTGGGGCCGGGCCGGGGAGGGGGGGCGGAGCGGGGCGGGGCGAGTCGAGCCCCGCGGCCCCGGGCCGGTGCCCGCAGCTCAGGCGGCGGCCCAGCGGCGCGTGTACGCCTGTATGGCCATTTGGAAGTGCTCGGCCGTGTTCTGCTGCGGCCGCAGCAGGATGACGAAGGCCCGCGGCACGAAGTACCCGCCCAGCAGCGCCCCGAGCGTGCCCAGCGCCCCGAGCACCTTCGCCGCCGCCTCGGCCCGGCCGCGCAGCGCGCCCTGCGAGCAGAGCACGGCGGCCGAGAAGCCCAGGTGCAGCAGCAGGCTCACTGTCAGGCCCTTGGCCTCGTTGTAGCCGGCGGGCAGGTCCGTGCCCGCGTAGCTGAGCGCGAAGCAGCCCACGCTGAGCAGCACCGTGTAGGCGGTGGCTGCGCCGGCCGCGGCGCTCTGGGCGCACTCCAGCATCACCCGGTCGGGCTGCGCGCCGTAGTCCCGGAGCGGCACCGAGGGGCCGGTGACCTCGGCGGCCAAGCACAGCATGGCCTGCGCCGCCGTGCTGCCGGCCACAAACAGCAGCGGGCCCTGGCGCCGCAGCCAGGCCTCGTAGAGCGCTGGGCAGCGCGCGTTCAGCTTGAAGATGCAGAGGATCTGGAAGGAGCGGGTCGCCACGCACGAGAGAAACACGGTGAAGCTGACGGCAAAGAGTGGCACCCGCAGCAGGCACGCCAGCCGTGTGGGCTCCCCGAAGTAGCAGAAGAGGCTGCTGCAGGTGCAGGCCAGGGACCCCAGCATGACGAAGCACATCTTCCCACCCGCAGACTTGACCACGGGTGTGGAGGCATTGAGGGCAAAGAGGATAGCCAGTGCCACCATGAGCAGCATGAGGAGCGCAGCCAGGGTCAGCAGCACCCAGGAGAGGGGCTCGGACCAGGACAGGAACTCGACAGTACGGATGAAACAGGCCTCGCTCCCTGCCGGGGCCCACTCGTCCAACCTGCAGTGCTGGCAGCCGTAGGGGTCTGCAGAGGACATGGGCACCTTGCATACCTTGGACCCGGTAAGAGCTCTGCCACAGCCCAGCCTGCAGCCCCCCAGGCTCTGCCCACCTCTCATGTTCTGCTCATTCCCACAGGCACTCCCAGGCCTTGGGGAGCAGAGGGGGTTCTTTTTCCAAAAGACCCCCCACACCCAGAGTTCCACCCATGGAATTCCCCGAAGTCTGTGGCTTTGGCTGAGGTGTGGGGCCCGCAGGACCTCGGCTGGGTTAGGCTCAGGGCTGTGGGTGAGAGGGGGCCCATGCATCCAGCAATAACCTGGGAAGAGTCTGCAGCAGCCCCCTTGAATGGGACAGGACCTCACTCCCGTTGTTCTCAGAGCTACCCCTCCCCACCCCGTAGCCCAAGAGCGGGCTGAGGGTGCCAGGGAACCAGCTGCCAGGAAGAGGGTTGTCATTGTGGCTGGTTACTCTGAGGCAGGAGACTGCTGCTGTCTGTCCCAGGCAGGGCACATTTCCATATGCCAGCTGCTGGTGACCGCATGGTGCGGAAGCCCCAGGTGCCATCTGGGGCACAAAGGCAACCACTGCATCGAATTTCCCTGGCAGAGGATGTGGTGCAGGGAACAGCTGCTGGGCCGGACATGCCTGTCCCCTGGCCACAGGAGAAGGGGCTCTGTTTGCCCAGGTGGGCTCACTTGTGGGCAACACTCCCTGGAAAGTGCAGGACGTGGGCTTTGCATACCCACCGGTGAGCAAATCGGAGCCAGACCACTGCCATCAGGTCAGCTCAGGCTTTACTGACCACAGGAGAGAAGAGGCTGGGAACGGGGAGAAGGGAGTAGGAGGCAGGATGCAGGCAGGCAAGGAAGGGGTGGGAGCAGCCCCCAGGGTGTACTAACCTGATCTGTTCAGGAAGGTTCCCAACGGACAGGCCGTACAGCTAAAGCAGCACCGGTGGCGGGTCTGCTGCAGCCGCCACTCCCCCGGCTTACAGGCCTTGGAGCACACCGAGGTGGGAGCCTGCCGGGAGTGCAGACAGGGTCAGCCTGTGAGTAGGGTGGGTAGCAGCACACCTTGGGCCCAGCAGCACTCTGGCACCCCCCACACCACCTCTGTCCACCCTCAGTTTTGCCGTGCTATGAGGAAATGCCCCATAAGAGCTGGCATTGGGACACAGCCAGTTCAGCAGTGAGGAATAAATAAGACCTGGGTGCAGAACAGTACCTGGCTATCTTTTGTGTGCCACAGGACTTTGCCTGGGTCGATGCTCAGCCTGTCAGGGTTGACATGGAAGGTTCCTATCACATCAGAAGCCCAGCTTGAGCCACTCCAGTTCCACATGACGATGTCGTAGCCTTTACAAATATCCCCGCTGGTGTCAAAAGAGACTCGGCTCTTGTACAGGGTGAAGTTTACCTGCCTGATCTGTTGTAGGAGCTGTAAAACAAAAGAGTAAGAGAGGAGCCCTTCCAATGGTGAGACTCCTGCCATTGGGAGGGAGATGTGCCGGAGGATCCCTCCTCTGTGCTACTGATGGGCATCTGCTCTCCAGATGCCCATCATCTGCAAGAAGTCTCATCCAGGTCTTCTGTGAGGCCTGAGCACAATGGGAAAATCCTTCCCTGTGGGAAAGGATCCTTATATTGCTCTTACCTGCCAGGGATAGATGGTGCCTTTGCTGCAAGCCCCCGAGGCACAGCCCAGCAGGTTGTGGAGGCCATGGGCCACGGCGTACACGGCCGAGTACACGTTGAAGGAGGCTTGAGCGTCGAACACGTTGGGGGCAGCAGTGAGTGAGCGGCAGCTGGTGTAGTGCTGGGTGCAGCTCCCCCCGGATTCCCCGCCTGCCTCTGCAGTGCTGGCACACTTGGCCGCAGCACCTTCCTCCACCATCTTCCAACTTTCAAAGCGTTCCAGCATCACAGACTCTGGCTTTTCAACTGTCATCCCAATCACCGTGCCAATGGTCTGGATGCCAGGCACCTGCCAGATGATTTGAGACAACAGCCAGTCTTCAGAGCCCACCCACACCATGCCTGTGATGTTCCTCTGGACCACCACCTCGAAGAATGGGCGGGCGCTTCGGCTGTTGGAGAAGATGATGGTGACATTGACCTTGGCGTCTGTGAGGAGTCGGACCATGTTGTGGAGCTCAGGGTTGCTGGTGTCTGAGTTGATAGGAATGGTGCCTCGGTAGGCCACGCACACGTCACTTGTGGTCAGCAACTTCTGCAGGGCATCCAGGCCACCCCTACCATAGGTGTTGTCGCTGCCCAGCAGCGCCACCCAGGTCCAGCCAAAGTGCTGCAGCAGCAGGAAAATAGCTTTCACCTGCTGCCTGTCACTGGGGATGGTGCGCAGGAACGACGGGTACAGCCGCTTCAGGCTCAGCGTCTCCACAGAGGCTTCATAGCTGATCTGTAAAGTGAGCCAGGAGAAAGGGGGAGGCACTGCCCCAGGCAGTGGCATCCCTGAGAGCTAATGGCACGGGCAGCCTGTGCTGGGGAGACTCAGAGCTGGGCAGGCAGTGGAGCCAGCACCGAGTGTGCCGTGGCAGGAAAAAACTGTGATGGACGGTGAGCCAACTGTGATTCCTGCCTGCCCCCAGATAGGGGCTGGGAAGGGACCCCAGCCAGCCCACACAGAGGGGCTGCGTTTCCAGCTCTAGCAGCCTCCTCAGCTCTGAGTCCACCCTCTCTCAAACCCTCAATGCTCAGGATCCCTATTCTTCATCAGCTGCAGGAGCTGCACTTACCTCTGGTACGAGGAAGATGCCAAGGATGGCAGCTGTGGTGAGGGCCAGCTGTGTGCTGTCAGGGCCGATGACAGCAACAGCCTGGGGCTCATAGTGTTGTAAGGTGGGGAGCAGCTGGACATCCTGCCTGCCTTTGCGGATGAGGGCACTCAGGGTGGCGTGGAGGTTTGCGGGCTCAGAGCAGGTGTCGTGGATGTCGTAGCCCAGAGTGACGTTCGGAAGCAGCGTGCTGGAGTTGTTGATCTCCTCTATGGTGAATCGCAGGGCCTGGGACAGGCAGTAACCGTGGCTCTTGAAGACGGCATTGCTGCGGAACCAAGAGTGGTTATTAGGGAGGACAGACCGCGGCTGGGGGAGCGGGCGGCGCGGGCACTCACTCATCGCAGCCGCGAGCTAGCGGGCTGGCGTCGGTGCGGGGCCCGGCGCTGTGCAGCGGGAACAGCCCGGCCAGGCGGTAATCGCCGGGGAGGGAGAGGGTCGCGGCGGCGGCGGCGGCGGCCGCGCACAGGCAGAGGCGGAGCGGGGCGGGCGGCAGCATGGCAAGGCAAGGCGGCGCCGGCCGGGCGGCTCTTAACGGGGCGGCGGCGGCAGGCGGGGCTTGGCACCGGGCGGGCGGTGCCGGCCGAGGGGCGGCCCCGGGAGGCGGAGGAGGCTCAGCGGCCATGCCTGCGCGGCGCAGCCGCCCGCGCCGGGCCCTGGCCCGCAACCCGGCCCGCGGGGCCCGGGCGGAGACGGCCTGGCGGGAGTTCGCCGCCTCCTTCGCCCGCGCCGGGATGGTACCGCCGGCCGAGCCGGGGCTGGCGGCCGTGGAGGCGGCGGAGGGCACGGCCGTGCTGCTGCTGGCGCCGCGGCAGGTGAGCAGCGCCCGCGCCGCGCCGGCCCCGCCGCGCCCCGCACCGCCTGACCGCCCGTTCTGTCCCCGCAGGCGCTGACCTTCACCGGCAAGTGCCGCCTGCGCTGCCTGTACGGCGCCGTCCGCCTGCTGGGCTTCGCCGTGGCCTCGCACCACCCGGGCCTGCCGGTGTTCTCGCCGGCCACGCACTGCGCGCTCAGCCTGGAGGCGCTGCCCGGCGCGCGCCCGCCCGCCGCCCTCCGCCAGCTGCGCGCGGCCGCCCGCGCCGCCATGCGCGCGCACCGCGTCCGCCGTCGTGAGTGCGGGACCGGGCGGGCGGGCGCCATTTTGCGGGCGGCGCGGTGCGGGAAGCGGCCATTTTGTGCGCGGGGCGTTGCGGGGCAGGCGGGCTGAGAGCTCGGGGTGATGGCGGCGCTCGCCCGTTGCAGAGGCGCGGGTGAAGGTGATGGCGCGGTTCTCGTCCGATTGCGCCGTGGTGCTCCTGGAGCACCTGGACACGCCGGTGACGCGGTTCCTGCTGAGCCACCCGCCGCTGTCGCGGCTCTTCGAGCCCCAGGTGAGACCCCGCGGGCGGAGCGGTGCCCGCGGTGCCCCGCACCGCCCGTGCAGAGCCAGCGGCCGCCGCCCCTGGCGCCGTTCGGCGCTGTGGCCTCGCGCATCCGCGCTGAGCGCTCTCCCTCTCGCCTAGAAAAAGGAGGAATCCAGCTTCACGCCGGAGGACGCGGTCCTGGCGTCCGTGGGCATCGTGAAGTGCAGCCCCGACCGCGGGCTGCTGGTGTCGGAGAGCACGTACCTGGCACTGGAGGAACTTATCCAGGCCTGCTGTGGTGAGTGCAGGCACTTGGCCAGGTTGGGGCCTTGGTAGCCTGAAGAAAAGGAAATTCGTGAGGCTTTTCATGAGTTAAAATTAGAGAGTGTGCCCTGCCTGGCACACTCTGATCTAGGGTTGTGTTTTTCTCTAAAGAGCGGGACGCTCGAGCTCAGCATCACCTGGGCTGGGTCAGAGTGATACCGGCATTTGTCTGGTTCACACCGTGCTTGTCTTTCCAGCGGAAGATGAAGGTATCCCTGTGGTGCTGGTATGTGGCCCAAAAAACACTGGAAAATCGACATTCAACAGATACCTAATTAACCTGTTACTGAATCGGTGAGTCTTTCCATGTTCTGCAAGCTTTTAAGTGCTGCATGGGATTTAAGAGAAGGAAAAATGTGTCTGACAGGGCTCTCAGAAGAGCCGTCAGGCCTGGAGGGTGGATAGCTTTTAAACACAAAGTGGTAGACGTATACATGGGTTCTCTCCCTGCAGCCTTCCTGCAGTCGAGTACATGGAGTGTGACATAGGCCAGCCAGAATTCACACCGCCCGGGTGCGTGTCCCTGAGCAGCGTCACGGAGCCCGTGCTGGGTACGTGTTCCGCTGCTCCTGCGGTTATCAGAGACCTGTTCCGTTTCTGAAACAAGCAGGGTGTTCTGGGCAGAGGCTGCTTGAGGGGAAGCTGCTGCCACAGATGTCAGAGGTTCCTAGAGAGAATAAACCAACAGCTGTTTGAGTCTTGTTGTAGGGACATCTAAGCTCCCTAAGTAACATGGAGCCATTCTCCTGCTCCTTTTGTCCTTTAAAAGAGATGATGTTGTTTACAGGTGGTAGAGCAGGCTGAGGCATGTCAAAGGGGAAGTTCAGCCTTTCGGGTTTGAAAAGTCTCTTTAGGACTTTGGGAGGGGTGGCATGTGGGTACTACAGAAATGGGAGCATTTTGGTTTGACTCGATGAAGGCACTAGAGGCTCAGTGCTGTCTTTGCCAGGTCCCCCCTTCACTCACCAGCAGACGCCCCGTAAGATGGTGTATTATGGGCAGACCAGCTGTGAGCAAGACACGGAGAGGTACCTTGATGTCATGAAGTACGTGTTCAGCTGCTACAAGAAGGAAGTGCCTCTAATTATCAACACCATGGGCTGGGTGAAAGGTAAATGGGATCAATCCTTCTCTCAAAGAGGGGTGGGAGGGAGGTAGTGAGGGTGGTGGTGCAGCACCACGCAGAACCAGAACCTGCAGCGTGCCTGCCCTGAGCTAGCGCTGCTGTGTGACCTGTTGAAGTAGCAGCAACAATTGTGTGTTCTCTGTGCTCTTGAAGGCGAGGGGCTGCTGCTGCTCATCGATATCATCCGGCTGCTGTCGCCCAGCCACGTTGTTCAGATGGACGTGTGCGACTGGAAGGCAATGGCCCCGCTCACCCCCGAGCACGTCCACCTCCAGGCCGGGCTGCACACCAAGGGCAAGCAGCAGCCTAAGTGCAAGCAGCTGGATGTGGGTGCTGCAGAGAGCTGGAAGTGCTCCGAAGGGGAGGATGCGTCAGTTCCACAGTACAAGTTGCTCTATGTCCATCCAGAATTCCCTCGGGCAGGAGTGGCAGGTGAAGCGTAAGTAGAACATTAAGTGCTGTGTGGAATTTGTGGGCTGGACAAAACCACGCGTTGTCTTTGACTTAGAACTGCTCTTACAGGCGAGTGCACAGCGGCATCCTGCGTGACATGTCCATCCTGGGATACCTGGGGCACCTGCAGTACCCGGACATCGGGGCGGTGCTCCCGCTGCACAGCCTGGTGCCGTATCAGGTAAAGGAGCCTTACGGGAAGGCTTGGATATGGTGCAGAAAGCACTGGTTCACAGCGGGGGGCAGTTCTGCTCCTACTGCAGATGTTTCTCAGAAGAGGAATAAACACTCTGTAATCTGCAAACAGATAAGAACTGTATTCAGGGTGTCTAGAAGTGAAGCTTCTGTTGAGGTGCTGGTGTGGCACGTGTGTGCAGGTGGCACATGTGTTCTCTATGTGCTGTGTGTGCAGATGGCACATGTGTTATGTGTGTTCTGTCTGTGCAGAAGCTGCTGTGTGTGCCCTGCCCATGGGTGTGGGATGGGAGCATGCAGGGTCTATGTACTCAGGGTCTTACCTCTGAATTCAAACTCAGCTCATGTGGAACCAGTGGCAGTTTTCTTCCTCTTTTCACCCCCCCCAGGTACCTTTCAGTGCTGTTGCGCTCAGGGTTATTCACACAGATGTTGCTCCCACCAACATCATGTATGCAGTGAACGCCAGCTGGGTTGGGCTCTGCTGCATTCCGGATGAAGTCAGGTGCCAGACCGACGGACCGGTCCTGCTGACACAGACACCAGTCTGCGACTGCCTGGGCTTTGGTGAGCACACTGGAGCTGTGCTCTCACCTGCTGTGTTTAGGCAGACGGGTTGCAGAGTGGCAGAATTGCCTATTCTCCCAAAAACAGCTGCAGAAGTGGGATGAGATACAGGAGTAGTGGTGTGTTGTCTGCTGTTGGAAGCTGTGCTGTAAGTCTTCTGGCTTTGGTTAATGTGTGGTAACAGCTGTGAGGAATGTCACTGCACGGCACTGCTCAGAGCTTCTCAGAACTCCCCAGTTGACTCTCTGGGTTCACGTTTGCAGAAGCAGAATTCTGGGTGGCTTATGTAAAATTCCTGTAGTTGCTTAAGTTTCCTTCTATGACTTGATTTAATGTTCCAGTTCGGATTTGGAGTTTGGTTCTCGAGTGTCTGTGGGGATGTGCCGATGAGCAGGGATACCTGCTGACCGAGCTTTGCATATGTTCTTTTGTTCAGGAATTGTTCGAGGAGTTGATATGGAGAAGAAGCTTTACCATATCCTGACACCGGTGCCTCCAGAGAACCTGAGACTAGTGAATTGTCTCCTCCTTGGGAACATTGCTATCCCTAACTGCGTGCTTGTGGGCCAGGTAGGAGCCCGTGGGAGGGGTGGGAGCTGGCTGAGCTTTGGTTGGCTGGCAAGTTTTCCAGTTTCTTATTCCTGAGGCGAATGCATGCTGGGAGATGCCTGGGCATCAGCAGATGGTTATCACTTTAGGAGATTGTCCTTAAGCACAGAAACCTCAAGAGAACAGAATGTTCCACTCGTGTTTTAGATGCCAGAGTGGGGTTTGGTGATCACTGAGTCTTTAACACCATCAGTTCTGTCAGCCCGGGAAGGGAAGTGCTTCCCCCTCTGCTGAAGCTACAGGCTCCTAAAGTTGTTTCTGGTTTTATTTTTCTGTTTTTCAGCAAGGAATTGAGGGAGAGATCCCGTATGTCACGTCCGATTACAACTACAGCATCCTGGGCGCTGGGAAGCTGAGGAAAAAGAAGCATTTCAAGAGGAAGGATTTCACCTTCGAGTGTGATTACACCTGAATCTTTGGAGCCCTTGGGCCAAATGTTGTTTGTGTGGACTGGGTAGAGAGCCCAGTGTGGTCACGGGAGCCCTGGGTGCTGCAGAGGCCCTGGGCAGGTGGCCGGGTAGATGCCACAGCAGGTCTGGCTTTAATAATGTTTTGTATGTTCGGTTTGTATTTCAGCGTTTTGTAATAAATATCTACGGAAAGCAGGGGGTTGGTTTGGATTTTGTCCCTGGCCGTGGCTGACACAGATGGAGGCAGCTGCTGTCACACCCAACTCTGCCTTGAGTCAGGAGTCATTCTCGTTGCCTGTCCGGCCCTCAGGGAACTCTGGGTGTCAGTGATCCCCAGGGGCCTGAGCAGAACTTCCCGGTCCTGTGGTTTGGCGAAGGGCTCACCCTGAGGTTCTGGCCCTGTGCCTGGCCCACAGCTCTTGTTGTCCTGCTGGTCAAGGAGGGACAAAGAAAGGAGCACATTGTGGAATCTCTGTCCCCCGGGGTGGTGAAGATGGAGCCGTTCAGCTCTGCACCATCACAGCCCACCCTGGCTCCGTGCTGGGGCGCTGCTTCCTCCCACCCTGCACTGGCCTGGCCCCGTATCCCAGTGCTGCAGTGTGAGCTCAGTGCCCTGAGTGTGGTCTGGGAACAGCTCAGGCTGACTCCAATGTGTCCCCAGCTCTAACAGACTGTTCTCCAGATCAAAGTTGAAAAGTTGAAACAGGATGGGACTGGGGAGTATCACATGGAGCACCAGGGCATGTGGCCTTGCCTGACCCCACCTGCTCTACCCCACTGGGACATAAGAGAAACTTTATTTTTTCTTCCCAACCCTTTGTCAGTCAGCAATTTGCTCCTGAGGGAAGCTGGAGGGTGGCAGGAGCCACAAAGAGGTATGCATCTCGGGTCAAGTTGAAGACATGTTTGGGAAAACAGCTTCTGAATGGGTAATACCAGCATATCGTGCATTTATTGGATCCATGTCTGCAAAAGTAACCTGGCTTCTAACTGGCTCCTGCGAGTGAGGTGAGGTTCTGCCCCAGCCTAGACCACGGAACAATCTGGCCCTGGTGTGTGCAGCCCCCCCGAGCCCAGTGCCTGTTCAGAGCCCACGGACCAGGTCTCCTGCAGAGGAAGGAGGGATGTGGTGCATCACTTGGGACTGGAGCTTTTTGGCTGGTGGCTGCTGTGGATGTGAGTAATCTGCAAAATTGCTTTTATCTGGTTTGTGAAGAGATTTCCTAGAACACCAGAAACAAACAGCTGTAAACAAACTGGGATGAGTGGCAGGGAGGGGACTGAGCTGGAGAGGAGCTGTGAGGGGCTGTGCAGTGTTGCTGCCTTGTAAAGAGTTAATCCAGGCCTAATTATCCCCATCTGGTTGGGTCTGGCAGCAAAGGAAGGACTTGGCTGGCATTGTGGCCTGAACAGTGGCTAAAATAAATAAAGGGGGCTGTGGTGCAGCCAAGGAGAACATCCCAGGCAGGGTGAGAGGGGAGTTCAAGTCACAGGGAAGTGGGTGGAAAAAGCTTCAGGAAAGGTGAGATAGGCAAAGGGCATGTGAGAAATGCCCAGTGCTGAACCCCCCCCCATAGCTGAGCATCACCCTTAGTGCTGTCACCAGCCTCCAGCATCCACCTCCCCTGGCTGCAGGCGATGGACCCCACACTGGCTACATTCCCTGCAGCTGGGGGATAAGTCCCGAGCTGCAAGTGTGGGACTGTTTTGGGGCATTTCCAGGGCGTTCAGATTGCCTGTGCCTGCCAGGGCCCAGAGGTGGATGCTGCAGCTTTGGGAAAGGGGGCACCTCACCGGCTTCTGGTGCTCCCTAAGAGGGAGAGAGACAATGCTGGTCAGGGACAATGGACAGGTCAGCATAATCCTCAGCAAAGCATCCCACCAGGCAGTTGGGGACACTCGGCTCTGTGATCAGTGGGAAATCAGTGACAGCACTTCAAATATCAAGGATACACTAAATAAAGTAGGATTAATTTTGCAATAAATTGGCATTTGTTACATTTGCAGCAGCAATTTCTGTTGAAATTTCTGGCAAGGGGTGACCAGAAGCAGCAAAACTCTGGGGAGCACATGGTGCCTCCGGGAGGAGTTTCTGTGATGAGTAGGGGGGCTGGGATTTGATCATCCTGCATAGTGCTGTGGTTTTTCCCTGTTTTAGGAAGTTTTATGTGGGGTAGGACAAAGGTACCAACCTTTGCTGCCTTTGAGGGTTTTAAGCCCTAGCTGGTGCTTTCTTGTTTGCTTGGATTTAGCAGGAGGAAAATCCCCCTGAAGACCCCTGGCTTTCTCTGGACAGGCTGGGGGCCCCTGTGAGCCCATGGGTACAGGGATGAAACTGGGGCTCAGGGCAGCACATTCCTGCCCCCTCAAAAGCCGTCTGGATGGCAGAGCCGCCGAATAGCCCCCCTCTTCATGCTGATTCTTTCCATCACAAGCACGTCTTGTCTCCGTGGCCGAATGTCTTCCATAGACGGCGGAAAGTGAAATTTGTGCAATGTCTGTAGGAGGCTGAAGAAAGGCCCTTTGTGCGCCCCCCGCGCGGGCGCTGGGCAGCCTCCAGCAGCACCCTCGGCCGCCCTGCGGCTCCCGCCGCTGGCATCAATGCACCGCTTGTCCGGAGACCGGGACCCACTCTTAAAGCCAGAGCCAGTCTTCCCCGGTTAGTCCCACTGGCGGCCCCATTGGGGCGGGCACGGCTCTGGGGGGCCCTCCGGCCGTGACCCCAGGATGTTTCTGTACTGGAAGAAGAGGGGTGCCTACGAACTGGAGGCTTTGCCGGCCGGGCTGGCGGGGCTGGAGTACGAGGCAGTGGAGCGGTTTTCCTGGAGCTCTGGCCTGGACATCAGCGAGGAGCTCGGGGGTAGGTGGCTGGGGGGGATTCGAGCAGCCAGGGCTGTGGGCTGCTATGGTTGGCCAAAGTCTCCAGCTGTGGCAAAGAGGGTGAGGGGCTGGGAGAAGCTCTCGCTGGAGCAGGGGTGCCACAGGGATGCCGTGGGAATGCTGCAGGTGCAGCTGGGGAGCGCTCAGCAAACTGCCCCATGCCCCCGGCAGCGCTCCCCCCGGCCCAGGCAGGGTTTGAAGCAGCCGGCTGCCGCCGTGCGCTCGGCTGCGAGGATGATCCGGTTTCAGACTTGTTTTCCGTCGCCGGGAGCGCCGGGCGTGATAGCACAGCCGGCAGCAGCGGAGGAGGTGACCGGGAGGAGGGGGGACAGGAGCTGATGGGGACAAGATCCCTCCTCCGGCCCCCGAGGTGGCTGGTGGGGACCCGGACACCCTCCTGCCTCTGCCAGGAACCGGGGGGCCCTGCGAAGAGCTCCCAGCCCGCGTGCAGGAGGCCCCGGTGCGCGTGTGACCCGCGGGCAGGGTCAGCGCCTGGGAACGGCCACGCGGCTTTGGCCGTGCCGGCGGCTCCGGCGCGGGGCTGGTCCCTGGCACCGCCGGCCCCTGCGGGCGGCCTCTAGGTTTTTGGTGAGTTTGGAAAACTTTCCCTCGGGTGCATGAAAGAATTTCTTATTTGCTTCCGTTATTATTCCCGATAGGTCAAGTGAAACGGCAGCGGCGGGGGGCGGGGGCCGGCCCAGCCCGGGAGCGCTGCGGGGCGGCCGCGCAGACAGAGCCGTCATTGTGCTCCTGCCGCGGGGGCAGAGCCCGGCTCGGCTCCCGGCTCCTGCTCCCGGCTCCTGCTCCCGGCCCGGCTCCCGGGCGGCGACGGACCCAGCCCTGCCCGGCTGCTTCCGCGCCGTCATCCAGCAGCGCCCGTGGCGCCACGGCAGCCCCGGGATCACTCCCAGATGGGAGCTGGAGCAACCAGTTGCTTCCCTCTCTCCAGACAGAAGTAGCAGCTTTTTCGGTGCTGCCTCAAAAGGCATTTTAACCTGCAGACTGAGTCTAACCCTGGCCTTGGCCATGGCCCTCTCGGGCTGGCATGGATGCTGTTTTTGTTGGCAGGAAGGATGCGGGAGAGGGGAATGGCGTGGCAGGGAAGCCCCTGTGCTGCTGGGCTGGTACAGCCGTGGCACCTGGCCTCTCCACATCCCCGGCATGGGCTCCCTCCCCAGCAGGCAGCTTCCCAGCCGTGCATCCCTGCCCGCAGTGGGGCTGTCCTGCCAGAGGGTGTCCGTAGTGCTCGTCTGCCACAAGCAGTCCGTTATTTTTAAACTATTAGGTGCGACACATAACAAAAGCCTTCAAAATAGGATTTGTCCCTAAGGCCGATTTAACTGTCAAAGCTTAAAGTGGCTACTAAGCCCCGTTGGGAACTGACAGCGGCAGATTTAGTGTTCCTGCTGCAGCCCCAGGCCGTGCCAGCCCCAAGGGAGCTGGGGCAGGTCTGTGTCCTCATCCTGTGCCTTGGGGTGCCGGGCAAGAGGTGCTGGATTCTGTCTCTGTGGAGCACACAGTGCCTTCCCTCAGCGGGGATGCAGTGCTGGCTCTTGGGCATAGGGCTTCATCCTTCTGCATAGGCTGTGGGACAGGCGGGGGCGGGCAGGAGTGGGCAAGACCAGCTTCAGCTGAGCCTGTGTGCTTTGCCAAGCTCTTAAACCCAGGGTTTGTGTTTGTGGGGGTCTCAGCATGGCCCCTGGGGGTGGCTCTCATGGCACCCAGGCACTGATCCTCTCTTTCCACAGACGAGCCGTGCCCAGCAGAAGAGACAGTGCTGCGCTGCCAGAATCCCAACTGCGCCGGTGAGAGGAGGGCAGCCAAGGTGGGTCCTGCAGGGTGGGGGCAGCACCGGCAGCTGCCTCCTGGGGTCGGTCTCATGGGTGAGAAGGGGCAGTGGATGGCTCTGCCCAACCTGCCGGTCCCTGAAGGGCCCCTGCCCTGGCTGGCAGCCCCTGGCGTGCCGTGTGCCCCCGCCCGTGCTGGATGTGCATTCCTTGCTGGTGTCACGGTCCAGCTGGCGTTTAACGGCATGGCGGTGATTTGCCCATTTCCCCAAGCTGGCGTGATTGGAGCTAATATGCCCCAGCCCATCTGCTCCCCTGCTCACTAATGTGAGTCAAGGGTGGATTTAGTGTCTCTTCTCTCCCACTGCCTGTGCAGGACTGGGCCGGACTCACACCCTGGCTCCCAAGCGAATCCCAGGGGTTTCTGTGTGGGGCTGCAGGCAGTGTCTCTGGTGTAGCAGGCAGGACGGCCCAGGCGCGCCAAGGGTGTGCCACAGCGCTCTGTTTGCATGCTGGGGTGGCAGGGCC